TGTGTGTGTGTATTGGAGGGGGAGGAGAGGGGATGGAGAAGGAGTGAAGAAGGCAGGATGATCCCACTGGTTCTTGCCTTCTACCCTAGATGCTAAAACCCCACGGTACTGATGATGATTTTGACACTGTCTTTTCTTCGTCTCTTCCCAGCTACCCTTCCTTGACCTTTCTTGACCCACAGCTGGTCCTGTCTAATTCTCTTTCTCCCCTCCAGGGTGACAGAACCTTCTTTCCAGAAGCTCCCCCATCTTACTCTCAGGTTCTGGGAAAGGTCTAGCTTAACTCTGTAAATGCCAGATTGGGGCAGGGGTTCCAAGGTGGTGGTGGGGAGGGAAGGTTGAGTGATACCCAAGTCATACAATTCCCTTCTGGGTATCTTCCTTCCTAGGAAACTGGAATAAATGTCAGCCTTGGTGTTAAGAATGCCTGGGCCCAATTCTATCCACAGAGAGGAATGGTTCAGGCCAAGGTCAGGGGGACTTAAGTGCCCTAGCTCCCAGTTCTAAATATTTCAAAGCCCATCCCCACCCCTGGGCCTCTTCCTGAGATACAGGGTCCTTCTCCATGGGGGCTCCCAAAATATATTCCCCTAGATGCTCTTAAAGATTAAAAATCAAAGTGGATTGTCTTCTTGAGAAGCTAGGGAGGAATAAATCAGGAAAGGTGCTATGTGTGTTGGGGGGGGGGGGGAGAAAGCAGGGAGAAACCAGAATGGGAAATTGAGGAGGGGGGCTTTGATTACATTCCCTTCCATTGCCTTTTATCTGATAAAGCCAGGTGCCCCTCTATGGATTTCTTCACCCTTTTCCCAGACCTAAACCCCCACAGAATTAAAAACAAACAAACAGATCAGAAAAGAGGTTAGATAGGAAAGGAAGAGAGAAGGCCAGAGATCGAAGGCCTGGAGGAGAGGGATATCCAGATTTGAGATAAGGGAGGATGGGTGAGGGGCTTGTCTGAGAGAAGCAGGTGGGAGACTTGGAGGGGTAGGAAGGAATCCTGGGAGATGCAGAGGGCACAAAGAGGGCAGGTTTGGGATGAGAATATAGGATGGGAGAAAAGGAAGATGCAGTGGGCTCTGGAAGGCATGGGAATATTCAGAAGGGTAGAGAATCTGGTGATGTGGTGGGAGCAGCCTGAAGATCTGGAGTGCTCCAAAAGAGATCTTGGGGGGACTGGTGGGGAATTCAGTGTGGAGGGGGCAGTTTGAGCGGGCTTCTTTGGGATCAGGGGATCTGATGTGGGGGTGGGGAGCGATTCAAGGCTGTGGGGGCCTGTGGGGGAACCAAGGGTTCAATGGATGGGAGAGGCAGCTTGCAGGGGAGGGGCAGGCGGGGGCTGCGGCAGCGGCGGGAGCCGAGGGGAGCGGAGGGGGGCGGGGGGTCCGGGGTCGCTTACCCTGCGGGACCCCGGGGGCCGCGACTCCATGGCCCGGGGTGGGAGGACCCGGGCGGAGGGGGGCCGGGCCGGGCCAGGGACGCGGCGCTCGCTGCCCGTGCGGCTCGGGGCTGTGCGGCCGGGCCGGCCGGGGTAGAGGGAGGCGGTACCGGCCGGGGACTGAGCCCCGCCTCGGAGGAGGGGCTGAAGGCGGGCCCGGGCCGGGGGCGGGAACTGGGACCGCAGAAGCCCAGAACAAGGGGATGGGGATGCAGGGTCTCATTCTCCTCCCAGATCTCAGCCGAAGAGGGGTCCACTGCAGGCGGACGGATCCAGGCACCTCCGCGCCCTGCGACAATGACCCTTCTCTGTCTGATCTCTGGCGTCCTTGCACTGCACTCCCCTCTGACGTCCCTGTTTCTCATGCTCGAACCCTGCCCTTCATTCCTCACCACGATCATCCTCCCCATCCATTGTCCTGCCCTGACTTCCCTCTGGGACGGGGACGCAAGCCGCTGCTTCCCTTTGAGGGTCCCTTTGCTCTCCCCGGTTAAACTGGAGGAAACTGAGGCATAAAAGAGGAGCGCACCATCCTTCACCTGTAGGCGAGGAAGATGGAAACGGAACTCAGGTATCCAGGTCCCCTGCCCCTCCCTGAGCCACCCCATGTCGGGTAGAACTGGGGGAGCCACGCCGCAGAAGACACCGAACAGGCTAGGGCTCCCCTCTCCTGACTGGGTCAGCAGCCAGGCTGAAGACCCATCCAAGCTTCTGGATCTGTGTAGGCGCTGCCCTCTGGCGGCCACGTGTGGCAGGGCGCCGGACGGGAACAGGAGGGGAGGAGGGTGTTGGAGGCAGACAGAACGCACAGAGGGTAACCTCAGATCACCTAAGAACTCTTTCCCTCTCCCAACGCACATCTCCAGACCTGCACCCCGCCCATCCACCCCTTCCCCCTCCCCCATAACTCTATCATAGAGACTCCCTAACCTGTATTTTTGGATCTCATTTCATCACCTCTTAAAGCTGAGACAGAGGAAAAGCAAGGTTAGGAGTTGGAAGAGAGCTAGTCTGGGAAGGGCATGGAGTTAGGCAAGGGGTGTCAGCACACGGTTCTTTGTCAGGTGTACAGGGAAAACTGGGGTGAGTCGGTCAGGGAAAGTGAGCAGACAGATGGTGCGGTAGAGCACTTCACAAACTTTTTGGTCTTACAATTATTTAAAAACTGTTGAAGACCCTTCAAAGAGGTTTTGTTTATGTGGGTTCTATGTATTGATTATGTTAGAAATTAAAATGTCTTAGCATTGTTATAAAAATGGATGTGACCTCATCACATGGACCCACTGAAAGGTCTCCAGACTGCTGTTGTAATGGAAAGTTAATTGGATTTGGGGTCAGAAGAACCGGACTCAAGACTCCAGATCTGCAACTTATTAATCAGTGAAGGTAAGCTCCTTGAGGGCAAGGGACTGTTGCCTTTTTGTCTTTGGATCCTCAACACCAAGCACATAGGATAGATAAGCATAGAGACTGAACCTGGTATAGAGATCTCCCAGGTTAAGAAACTCCTTTTATCAATGCAGGTCAACCCCTTCTCTGCAAAAATTAGTCTTAGAGTTGTCTAGAGAACTAGGAGGTTAAGTGCTCTTGCCCAGGGTCATATGACCAGTAAGCGTTCCATGAAGGATTTGAACCCAGGTCTTCCTGGTTTCAAAGCCAGTTTTCTATTCACTACACCAAGGCACGTCTGGCACATAGTAGGTGTTTAATAAATAATAAATTGTGTGACCTCGTTATGTGTCAGTGACCTGCAAGTCACTTTCTCTCTGTAAGTCTCTGTTCCCTGATCTGTAAAATGATAGGGTGGGCCTAAGGTGCCTTTCATCTCTAACCCAATGCTAGTATATTCTACTCAAGAGCTGACTACTATCTGAGGAGGAGCTGAGAGAAAAGAGTAGGAAAATCCCTATTGTTAAAGCCACTGATCTTTCCTCACCTTGCAGCCCTCCCCCCCCACCAATCCTCCCTGACTTCTCTGGGGCATCTGATACTGCTGACAATACCATCCTTCCTGAAACCCTCTCCTCCTTGTCTTCATTGACCCTCCTCTCTTCTGGTGTTGCCAACCCCCCACCCCCACCCCCCTCAGCTTCTCTTCTGTTTCCTCTTAGCTGGCTCTTTTTTCCTATTTCCATCTCCTGTTAAGTGGCCTGGTCTGGAAGGCTCGCACTCTATGATCCAGGCATTAACTATGAAGTTTAAATCAATAATAGTTCATATGTCCATAGGTTTAAAAGTTTACACCAATGGTATCAAAGTCAAATAGAATTGGGGGGGCACTAATCCTCATATTGACTTAGTTTTAAAATATATTATATATATTTTATTGTATTTGCATTTATATTTCCCAATCACATTTTAATCTGGTTCAGGTCACTCAGGAGTATTGTGACAGGCTACACGCTTGATGCCTCTGGTTTACATAACTTTTTTTTTTTTTTACAATATCTCTACAGAGTAGATAGTGCTTGTATCCTTATTCCCATATTACAGATGCAAAACTGAAGCTCAGACCTTTTCAATGATTTGCCCAGAGTCACAGAACTATGGAGCTTCAGAGCACAGATTTGTACTTAGGTCTTTCCTGGCTCCAAATCTCTTGTTTATTCCATTAGACATTTGTGACTGGTTCCAGGATAATAGCTAGCTCTTTTGACTTATGAAATAGTGAGAAAAGCAGAGGATCTGCTGTCTGAAGACCTGGGTTTGAATCCTGACTCCCTTCTTTGCACAGGTGGAGACTACAGGTATGGAATATTGTATACACAGTACTCTTGGCCTTAATTGATACATTGGTTAGTTCTACTGAGATGCTTTTCTTTCTCTTTTTTATTTCACTTTTTTATTTCACTTTTATTCCTTGTGATAAGGAAGAGATAGCTTTCCAGGGATGGGAGGAGAGAGAGAGAGAGAGAGAGAGCGATTTGGAAATGGACAGGATTTAAAAACAAAATACATGAATGAGAATTGTGTGGTAATTTTTTATAAGAAATCTTGACTCTGTTGTTACCTTGGACAAACCATTTAACATCTTTGGACCCCAGTATCTTAATCTGTAAAATGAGTGGTTTGGTCTACATGATCTTCCAGCTAAAGGACTCATGGTCTTTCGACTTCAGAGTGAAGACGTCACACAGCCTCTGTAGTACTGTCCTCAGTCCTGAACCTCTAATGGTCTTCTGAGTCCTTATTTCTATATCCTTTCAATACCCCAAACTCAGTGTGCCTGAAACTAAGCACATCATCTCTCCCCTCACTCCCCATGGTACCTACTTTCCAATTCCCTTATTTCTGTTATTGCCACCTCCATTGTTTCATTCAAGATGGAGACCAGTCATCAATCATCTTGGATGCCTCCCTCCCTATCACCTGAACAATTTAACTCTTATGAAGTACCAACTTTGTGCAATGTAGTATGCTAGGGGATAGTGATACAAAGATGAAATAAAACATAGCACTACCCTCAAGGGGTTGATGAGTATTTATTAAGCGCCTCAGCACTTTACCGATGTTATCTCACTTGGTCTTCACAGCAACAACACTGGGAGGTAGGGGCTATTATTTATTCCCATTTTACAGCTGAGGAAACTGAGGCAGACAGATTAAATGACTTGCTTAGGGCCCCACAACTAGTAAATTGAGTCAGGGTTTAAACTTAGATCTTCCTGACTCCAGGCCCATGAATTTAAGCAGCCTCTAGCTGACATGTACAAAGATAAATATATAAGTAAACTCCTTCTACAGTTGCCTTCACCAGCTTTAATACACAAATACATAGTCTGTGGTTTCATCCAGATAGACAACTTGAGATATAGGAACTCCTTCAGGAATGCACAAATGTAGATCTTAATAATAAGGCCGGGAGAATTGCCTGAGGCATATAAAGGTTAAGTAACTTGGTTAGGGTTGTACAGCATCAGCAGTCAGGGAATTTGAACCCGTTTCCCTGACATAAATATCATATATACACATATATGTGTAGTGTGTATGTGTATGTGTGCATACCTATAGTCTTAGAGTTTCCTGAAGCTCTGTGGTTAATTAAGTGACTTGCCTCTGGTCACCCAGCTAATAATTCAGTCCTGAACTCTAGCCAAGCTACCTAGACATCATGCAACTCACATTTCTAACCCATTAAGGGTTACAAAGTACACAATAAACAGTTTCACCCTCATTTTGCAGATTAGAAAAAGAGATCAGAGATAGAGGTTAACTAATTTCTCATTGGTAACACAGCTGGTAAGTGCTAGAGTTTTGAACCCAGATCTCTTTGCCCACTTATAGGACTAGCTACCCTCTGTGTAACAAAGAAAATACTGTAACACATGAAAGTCTTGAAGTTCAAGTGTTAGAAAGTATTGGGGTTGAGTATCACTGGTTTAACACACTGGCGGGTGGGAATTTCAGGCCACAGCAGCCATGCCGGACATTTCAACCCTACAGAATCTTGGAGTTTAGAACCAGAAGGGCCCTTGAAAATCATCTAGTTCAACTTCTTTCATTTTACAGAGCAGGAAGTGAAGATCCAGAGAAACATACGAACTGGGATTGTACAGAGGGTCCCAACAGTCTTAGGGTGGTTTCAAGCTAATTAAAGCTCACCCTGGGCATTACATAACCAGACACCAATGTAAAAAATGTAAAAATGCAAAACCTTGCCTTGTAGTCTGGTCATCCATTTAAATTATAGTTTCTATGGAACTGTTTCCTGTAATATGGTTGGTACCAGCATTAAGCTTTTTAAGAACCTCAGTGTTGGGAGGACCCTCAGAGGCTATCCAATCCTAATGGTACCTAACCAAGAATCTCATCTCCCACCTCCTGGACCTGTAGTCACCCAGCCTTTCTTTGAAAGCCTTTCTCCTCTAGGAAGTCTTCTCTGACTGCTCATGATTTCCCCTTTCCTTTGAACTTTTTCAGGACTTATACTCTGCATCACAAAATTTGGCACTTAATTAGATACTGTTTGCTCTTAATTACATGCTAGTATTTTATTTAAGTTAACTGTATCTCTTTTACTAGATTATAAACTCCTTGAGGGCAAGACCTATTCTTATATCTCAAATCAAAAGGGTCAAATGAGATATTTGTTAAAAAAAAATAGTTAGCACAGGGCCTGGCACATAGTAAGCTTTATATAAATGCTTCTTCCCTTCCCTTCTCTTATAATTCTTTATACCCCTCCCAGTGCCCAGCACTGGGCTGGGTACATTGGAAGTTTCAAATAGTAGTAATAGTACTGGATTTTAAATCCAGAGAACTGAATTCAAACCCCAAGTCCTATATGTATACTAGCTCTGTGCTCATGGGCAAATTACTTAACCTTCTTAAGTCTGTTTTCCCATCTGTTAAATGGTGACAGTGGTACCTTCCTCTCAGAGTTGTGAGGAAAGAATTCTGTAGACCTTACAGTGGTAGAGAAATGGGAATGACTATTTTTACTACAGAAAGGAGACCTGAGGAGAGATGGGCAGTGAAGGAAGAAATATGGTGGGCTCTGAAGGAGTGTGGGGAATGAGGTCTGAGGAATTAAGTGGGGGTGTCACATCTCTGCACTAAATTTTAAACTGCTTTAGGCTAGAGATACTATCATTTATTTTTTGTATCTTTATTAAGTAGGTCTTTAATAAAAGTAGCACTGAATTGAAATTGAGGGGAAAGTATGCATTGATCTAAGGGGAGAGTGTGAATGAAGCCTGAGGAGGAGAAATGGGGATTAGAATCTGAGGAGAAGGGGTGGGGTCTGAGGGCTGGCAATAGTGGGAGATGGGAGGTGGGAGGTAAGGAGAGAGGAAGAGGTGGAGTTTGAAGAAAGAGAAGGGGGTTAGAGGTGGGGACTAAGGGATGAGTGGGAAGGGGTGAGGATTTGAGATTGGGTGCAGGGCCATCCTTACCGTGCCGAAGTTGCTGAAGAGGCTCAGGGCGGGGGCTGGCTCCATAGGGAAGGGCAAGATCTGCTTGAGGTCGAGGTGGGGCTGCATGATGGGGGTCGGGTGAAGCAGAGGGAGGGGCCCCGCTCGGCTCAGGCTTCCTGTAGCAGGGAGAAGGTAGGTTATAGGGGGAGGGGGGACGTTGAGTGGTGGCAGTTGTGGACTCTGCCCTCCCCAACTGCAGCCACCTTGTCTGTCCTGTTCATACACGCTCCATGGGGCTTCAGCTATAAGTGTGCTATATATGGTGACAGAAAGAGGGAGGGTGCAACTCTTTCTTTCCCCCCAGGGCTGGTTTCACTTCTCCCTTCTCCAGATCTCTCCCATCCCCCAAGATCTCTAAGCACTTCTCAGACCCAGAAAGAAACCTCTGTGTTTGGTAAGCATGGGACCGACATGTCTCTTATCCCAAGCTCTATCCTCCAGGAATCTGGAACTTTTCCTCCTCTCTGAGGATCCCAAAGCCCTTAGTACCCCAAAGGAAGAAAAGTCATGCACTCTCACATTTGGAAGGAACCTCCAAGGTCATCTAGTTCAACCCCCATTCAACTCGTGAATCCTAGTTACAATATCCTGACAAGTGGTCATTCCAAGCCTCTACTCAAGGACCTCCCATCATGAGAAACTCACTGCATCCTGAGGCAGCCCTCCCCTCTGCCCCACTTTTCCAGGTTCCTGATTGGCTGATTCTCTTGGCCAGGCTTGGAGAGGGGGGAGATGGGAGGACAGGAGAGGGAGGGTGTCAGGGGCAGGACCCAGGAAAAGGAAACTTGTCAGGCTTGGGGCCCTGGGAGAGGTGGGGCAGTGGGCATAAATCCCCACCAGGTATAAGAAAAGGGAGAAGCCTGGAGAGGGAAGAAAAGAGAAATGAAAGAAGGTCCTAGCCCAGGTGACCCTTTCCTCCAGTGAAAGGGAGGAGGGATGGGATATATGGGGATACTAAGGGGGAGGGAGAGGTGACTCAGTCCTTCTCACTTTGGGAGAGCTCCAATTGTTGGGAAGTGTTTCTTTCTATGCAGCTGAAGTCTGATTCCATGCAGCTTCTTCTCATTCTTCTGAATTTTGCCTTCTGGACCCAAGAAGAGCTAGTCTGACACCTTTTCCCTAATGGTCTTCTTGTGGCATGGTTTTGAGCCCCTTAGCCTCTAACTTAACAATATATCCTTTCTAAGAACATTGTAGAATTGAACACAATATTCCATGTGTGATAGGAAAGGGCACTGATTTGGAGTCAGTGGTCTAGAGTTCGAATCCTGGTTCTGCTCATTTCAACCACTGTGTCCTTAGGCAAGTCATTTCACCTTCAGAAGCCTCAGTTTCCTCAGTTATAAAATCAAGGCCTTGGACTCAAGGACCTCTAAGGCCCCTTCCAGCCCCAAATTCTATGATCTTAGCATCCTTCCCACTTGAAAAGGAAGATTGGATCTGACTAGGCAGAAGGCAGAAATATCCTCTCTCATTTTGTACTTCTATTAAGAAAACTAATTAGAGAGAGATGACTCTGATTCAGCCTGCTGATTCAAAGGAGAACTAGAGGCTCAGATTGGGGTGGGGGGGAGAAAGGGTGCAGAATCCCTCAGTAGCCCAGAAGAGCACTTAAGTAATGTCTAGGGGGCACAGTGGATAGATAGATCCCTGGGCCTAGAGTCAGGAAGACGTGAGTTCAAATTCAGTCTTAGACTTTTACTAGCCATGGGATCCTGGGTAAGTCACATAACCTCTGTCTGCCTCAGTTCCCTCAACTGTAAAATGGGGATAATAATAGCACTCACCTGCCAGGGTTGTTGTGAGGTTCAAATGAGATAATATTTATAAAGCACTTAGTACAATATCTAGCACATAGCAGGCCCTTAATAAATGCTTGTTCCTTTCCCCCTTCCCTCATTACAAAGCTTAACTAATAATCGACATTACTCTCAAATCACACAAAATCAGGAAGATAAGGTTCAGAGAAGAAGGGTAAGTCAATAACACCTTGGTCCTCCCCCCACGTGTAAACCTTTCTTCTGCTTCTTTCCTCCCCCCTCCCCCTTCCTCCCTCCCTTCCCCCCAATCCCATTTTCGTTCTCTCTCACCCAGGCATCTCCTGCTTCTCTTTTGAAGGAGGAAGCATGTTCAGGGCAATCAGAATGGGGAATGCCTAAGTCTGAACCAAAGGAGGAAATGAAAATCCCAGCCCTCCCAAACCTTGCCCCTCCACTCCAACCCAGCCTATCCAAAGATCCCAACTGAGGCCCACCAAGGCAGCTATGCTGGGGAGATCTGTAGGGCCTCCATCTGACCTGGGGAAGCTCCAGGGCATTTACCGGCTCACCGACCACCCCCATCTGCTTTTTCCCAGGAACAAATGTAGAAACTGGAGATTGAGGGCCTGGCTCCTGTCCCTTCTCTCTTTCACAGGAGGAAAGGGTCGCCTGGGTCCTTTTTAAATTCCTCCTTTCCTCCCTCTTCCAGGCTTCTCCTTTTTCTCATACCTGGTAGAACTCCTGCCCACTGCCCCAGGGCACTGGCCCCAGCCCCCCCCCCCAGGGCTCTAGGCCTGACAAATTCCCTTTTCCTGGGTCCTGCCCCTGACACCCTCCCTCTCCTATCCCCCCCACCCCCCCCAAGCCCGGCCAAGAGAATCAGCCAATCAGAATCCTGGAAAAGTGGGGCAGAGGGGAGGGCGGGGGAGTAGGGATTAGGGGAAGCCGAGGAGAGAGGGAGGGGGTGGGGGAGGACTCAGGCACAGCTCAGGGTAAGGGGAGTTTGTCCCTGGGGTCCTGGGGCATCTTCTCGGCTCTGAGCTAGGACTGTTTGGCCAGGATGCCTGCGTCCTGGTTCTCCATCTCAGAGGTGCAGGGGGAACAGGGGGCTACTAGAGGCTGGGGTCAGGCTTGGGGTGGGTCTGAAAGTGGATGGCTTGGGATCTCTGAGTTCTCTAGATTAGCAGCTGGGGATCCCAACACTTGGGTCCTATGCCCTCGGCTACCTCAGATCTGAAGAGAGAAGAAAAAAAAAAAAAAGAAAGAAAGGCATGGGAATGCTCAGTGGCTGGGGGAAGGGTTGGGGGGGGCAGGGAGAGAATTTGGAACTCAAACTATTTTTTAAATGTTTAAAATAAATAATAATATTTTTAAGTGAAATAATTGGGAATGGATACAGGGAAAGAGATTGACAGAGACCAGAGAAATGGTAACAGAGGAAGACTGAGACAGAAAATAAGAGAGGCTAAGACAGGCCAGTGGGACATGGGGGCACTTTGGTCACTTCCTCTCCCTATTTCATGCTCTCACGCCCTCCCCCCCCCCCTCCCCCTTATCCCTTGGTACACCAGGCCTGGGCAGCATTAACCAGCCCAGAGTGGCAGCAGGGAATGGTGCTAGAAACCTGAGCTCTCCCAGAGCCCCCAGCACCCTCCCTCTCCACCCTCTGCCCACCATAGATGGCTGGGAGCTATTACTTCTACTCTTCGCTCTCAACAAACACACGGACACTGGAGGCTGCCTCTTGGCCGCTATGCCCATTGCCCTGACTTCCAGAGCTTGAATGAAGTCCTCTCAGTTATTCCCCTTCCCATCCCTACCCCCACCCCCATCCCTAGTTTGGGAGGCTCAGGACAAGGCAGGGAAGAGCTGCAAACCTGCACCCACATCCACACCACTCCTCTCATAGGAGGGGCTTGAACCCTGAGCTTTTGAGCTCTCCAGCCAATCTTGCGGAGAAAGGAAGGGGATGTTTTCTGAATGTTTGAGTGCCTAGTGCTTTCCCAAGGAAAGGAGAAGGAGCGGTACCTATCCAACAGCATTTCACCCCCCCCTTTTTTTTTTGCCAAACTGCACCCGTGCCATAATGTGTTTGTGTGGGATGGGGGCAAGGAAAGGGGAATTAGGGGATGAATAGAGACAGAGAGAGAAACATTGTGGAAGGAGCATTTGGACTCGAAGTCACGAGACCTGGGCTCTGATACAAGCTGTGGGATTATCTAATAATTGTCATTTAACCTCTGCGAGCCCCAGTTTCTTCATCTGTAAAGAGAAGGAACAATAATAATACTGAGGCTCCCTCTTCATAAGGATTTGTGAAGAAAGCACTGGACTGGCCATACTATAGAAACAGGAGCTATTCTAAATAAAGAGGGGTGGGGCAGGGATGCTTGGCCCCATCCCTTCAGGATAATAGAGTTCAACCGGGCCTGTGAGATCGCCTCTAGAATCTAGGTCCTCTCCCTCAGTTTATAAATGGAGAAACTGAGTCCCTGGGAGGATAAGTGCCCAAGGTTACATAGATCACTAGTGGTAAAACTGGGGTTCAGAACCAGGTCTTATTGCTCTAAAACCAGTGTTCTTTCTACCACTCCAGGATATTCTCTTCTGAGCCTGTTCCAGCTGGGACCCCCAGGTTTGGTTGGGGGTGGGGGAAATGAGAGACTGTCTTTCCTGGGGACGGAGGACTGCTTCTCTTTTTCATGAGGACACTGGGAGAAGGGAGGTAGCAAATCCAGGATTGATTTTGAGTAAGGTCTCCCACCTCGTAAGAGTTTAAGAATGTTTGTTGAATCGAATTGGATTTGATTGGATTAGATGAGTTTGAGTGAAAAGGCAGGAAATTAGATAGGCAACCCAGGTGTCCTGGTATTCAGCTGGGTGGTTGAGAGGAAGGTTTGGGTTTTTGTAAATGGAAGAGGTTTTGCTGCTAAAGGGAGGGACTAGATCAAGGCTGGGGCAAGGAAGAGACGCTCATTAGAGTAATTGCCCTCGGGCAGAGAGAGCCCTGCCCTCTTTGAAGAGGTAGCTAGGTGGTGCACTGTATAGAGAGCCAGGTCTGGAGCCAGGAAGCCTCATTTTCCTGAGTTCAAATCTGGCCTCAGACAATTAATAGCTGTGTGACCCTGGGCAAGACATTCAAGCCTGTTTGCCTCAGTTTCCTCATCTGGAAAATGAACTGGAGAAGGAAATGGCAAACCACTCCAATATCTTTGCCAAGAAAACTCCAAATGGACCTATGAAGTCAGACACAACCTAATAACTAGATCTTGTAAAAACTTAAACTCAATAGTCAATACCTTGAGGTAATCTCAGAACTTTTTAGATGTCTGTCTTCATCCCCAACCTTACTCTTACATTTTAATTTAGTTTCATTTCTACCTCTAGCTTCAAGATACATTTGGCCCTCCTCATCCCATCTTCATCTTGAGTCTGATCCTCAGGGACCTGTTTGTTTTTGTGGAAACCCACCCCTTAGCCCCTCTCAACTAGGAACTCAGGAATTTCTAGATCCAGTTACTAAGACCCTATCCCTCAACATTTTCCCTCATCCCTTCCACATTCCCCCAGTCTTGGGTCAGGCCCATTCATTCCAACTGAGTAAAAGTGGGTTGGTGCAAAGTCTTGGGTGGGGAGGGGGGAAAGAGGAAAAACCTAGTGGCCATGTGGGCATCAAAATGAAAGTTAGCATTAGGAGCCAGAGATAATTGGAATAGAGAGGGAATTAGGGTAGGGTCAGGCTCAGGTTACAGTAGGGTTCAAGATGAGATTAGGATCAGAGAGAAGGAACTGAGAAGTTAATTTTAAGGGTGGGGGTGAAGCCCAAACCAGGGAGAAGCAGAGAAAATATTGAGATCGGACCATAGGAGTTAGGGTCTCAGAAGGACAGAGGACAGAGTCGAGTGAAGGTAAAGGTTGAGGTTGAGGTCAAAGGCTTTGGGCAAGAATAGCACTCTAGTCGGTTCAACAAATATTCATACAACCTACTATATACAAAATCAGTCTGCCAGGCCCTGAGGATTAAAAAAAAAAAGATTGGCATCAAGGTGTTTATACTCTGATAGTGGGAAAAGCCATGAACACAAATAACCAAGAATTAAGGGAAAATGTGAAAAAGTGTTAAGAGAAATTTGAGGAAGAAGAAATCACTTTTATTGAGGGGAGGGCGGGGGCAAGGGGAGAAGAGTCAGAGAACCAATTCAAGAAAGACTTCATGGAAGAAATATCAGCTGAATTGGGCCTGGAAGGAAGAAAGAGACTTCAAAAGAGGAAGAGTGGTGAGTTTGGTGGGGGTAGCCCATAGTAGCCATGGAGACCTAAGGGAGAAGACCCCTGAGGGGACAGTTACCTTCTATGAGACTTGGCAATAGGTGGGGTAAATGTGGGGGCCCAGGTCTAGGATTCAGGTCCTAGGGGATTTGAACCCATTTCCTGTTCCCACTCTCTTTCCCCAAGTTTTTCTTATTCCTACCAAAGCAGTATGTGGGAAGGGGTGGGGGGCGGAGTGGTAAATTCTTGGGTCATTCTTTCTTTGTCTGAGTTCCAGAGGGACCTCTCCTTTTCCTCAGTTTCCCTTTTCCAGGAAGGAGGCAGATTAAGAGCTAGAAAATGCTTTGAAGTCAAAGATGAAAGGGATAGGGGGATGATTATGAGCAACTATTTAAACCATCATCTGTAATAACAGCTCCCCTTCCCCCTCCCTGTTGCTGCGGGCGCGCGCACACACACACACACACACACACACACACACACACACACACACACACACACACACACACACAGAGCCTGGGGATAGGGAGATGGGGCGGCCAGAGGGATGGCCACCAGTTTTAGAGTCCTCTGAGGGGAGGGGGGAATCAGGCTAAACAGTGAATGGCAGAGGGGCCTCTGGACCCCTTCTGTCAGGGCTTCAGAACTGAAGAGCTGTCAAAGATTTTAATTTGTAGATTACAGTTAGAAACAGGACTGGACCCCAGATCTCGAATCTCTAGCTCTCTCAGAACAAAATTCAAATTCAGCCCCACCATAACCAAACTAACCCAGAATCTAGGGCCCAGAATATAGGCTTTAGATTATAGAGCCTAAAGACCAAGCTTTAGGGTTCTCTCTCTCTCTCTCTCTCTCTCTCTCCTTTTCTTCCTGGCAGGTGTGGCAGCCTTACCCCACTCCTCCTCTTCCCTCCCTCTTTTCCCCACTGTTGTTATGTTTGGCACAGGGTAAGGGGTTATTATGATGTCTTCCTGAGAGATGTGAGGAAATGGAGCTCTGAGGAAATCTGGACCCAAGCTACTGCCCCAGGTTTTATGCCATTCTTGAGCTCAGGTACCTCTCCCTGGGTTCTATTGGGCATTAGGAAAAGAAACACTTCAATCAACTTATCTTGGACCTGAATTTTGCTATCACTGAGTCCCTGGGCCCCCAGAGTGGCCAAGGGTGTGTGGGGTCACATAGGCCCGAGGAATGCTGAGCCTCTGGGCTGGAGGCCTAAGCTTTGGGGAAAGGGGTACTCCTAAGAGGAAGAGAAATTTGAGGTCTGCTGACTACGACAGTCCCTTCTTTCTCCACTAATGGAGTCCACAGAGAAGAGGAAAGGACAGACAAGGTGAGAAATGGAGAGAGATATGGGATACAGAAAAGGAAAGGTAGATGACGGATCATGAGAGAGAAATGGAAGAGGAAAATGATAGAGGGGGAGAGACAAGGCAGAGATGTAGGCAGAAGAATAAGAGGAATAGAAGGAAAGAGAAATAGAGTGGGTTAGAGGAAGAGAAAGATAGGATGGGAAGGAAGAAAGAAGAAAAAAAGAGCCAGGGAGGAAAAAAAAAAGAGGCAAGGTTGCGGCTAGAGAGGAGGGCAGCTGTTAGGCCTGGAGCAGAGTCCAGGTGTCCTCAAGGTAGGGGGTAGGTTAGGGAGTGAGAGTTACAGGTGGCTGGGGAGGGGGGTGGGGGTATGCCTCTCTAAATGGGGGGGGGGGGGTCAGAAACCAGCCTGGTCAGGGTGAGATCAGAGGTCAGAGCAGGGCCTTTGGGAATTTAGAGGAAGGCAACAGTAAAACAAAGTCAGAAAGAGAAATAAAGAGGAGGATCAAGACTGAGCCAGGCTCCCACCCCACCCCCATCCCCCAGGGCTCCTTTCCATGTAGGTCACCAGGGATGGGGATGTTGTTGGCTATGGGGTTGTCAGAGGCCAGACAGAATCCCCTCCCCCTTCCCTCTACCCACTCCCCCTCAAAGCCAGGATTCCCCCAGCCCTGGGCAGCACTGTAGGAAGAAGAAGAGGAGGAGGAGGAGAGGGAGAAGGGGGGTGGGGAGGTACAGGTTCCCAGCTCATGGAACTGGGAGTGAGTGGGGCAGGTTCCAGCCTGTAGGACCAGGACGGTTGCTGAGACAGGAGCAGAGGCAGGATCTGAGCCGCCCAGGCCTTTGGGATAGGCAGCTCCCCAGCCTCTTCCCATTTTCTACAGCCCTACCCAACAAAACCCTCCAAGTCCTGGTGACCCCCTTCCCCGCCCCCCAAACCCCCCCCCCCCCCCCCCCCCCCCCCCCGCAGCAACCAGGTCCCAGGCCCACTACTCTTACTCCTTGTTCCCCGCCACCCACCCCAGTGCCTCTTCCCTTACTATACCCATAGTCTCCCCAGACTCGATTTTCTCCTCAACCTCAATCCAATTTCCTCCTTTCCCCATTCTGCCCTGTCTCCATTAGGTCCAAACTGTACCACCCCCCCAGCCCCCCTTCTAATCTCCCTTAATTTACCCTTGTTCCCAGACTCCTCCTTTCCCCTTCTACTTTGGCTCAGGCGGGTATGGATGTGGGTTGGAGAGGTGGTGGAGACAGTGCAGTTCTCTTACTCTCCTCCCCAAGCCCCCAAACAATCCCCCTCCTCAATCTCTGACTGCCTTCATAGAATATTCATGATCTCATGAATATGCAGCACACTTATTATAGAAGTCTCGTTCTCCCCTACTCTCATCTCCTCTAGTAGTGAATGGTAGGGAAAAAGGGGACTCTTGGGGGGGGTCACAGATGTGGGGCCAGATGTGGGGGGAGGGGGAGCCAGGCTCTGACAGGAGACTGCTGTCACCGCGAAGCCCAGGATCGGGGGGAACGGAGATACAGAGGGGACACCCAGGGGTCCGGAGACTGGAGCTACGGAGGCCACTCACCGAGGATCATGCTGGGGACCCAGGCGTTCGGGGCTCCGCGCGGCTCCGTCCCGGGGGCCGATCTGGCGGGGTTGGGGGGGGGAGGAGGAGCCAGGGGAGGAGCTGGTGGCTGGGCCAGGGCGGAGCGGGGGCGGGGCTGGGGCTGAGAGCAGGTGAGGAAGGGAGGAAGGAAAGGGAGGAGGGGGAGGGGGCCGGGACGTGGGAGGTCGACCGAGGAGGAGGTGCTATGTGGGAGGGGGCTCCAGTGCTCCACATCCATCTCTCCAGGCGACTGTCTCTTTCTCACACTATTTTTCAGTCTCGCTCTGTCTCTCAGGTTTTCTCTCTGTTTCTTTCTTGAGCCCTAAATCTGGGTGGCAGGAAATCTGGATGGGAGGAGGGAAGCTCTGAGTCTGGGGGTTGGGATACACGGTTCATAAAAAGAGGTCTGGGCCTGGGGGATAGAATACCTTGATTCTGGGGAGCTGCGGAATAAGGCCAGGGACAGGATGAGACCTGGGCCCTGGGACAGTATAGGTTTGAGTTCATAATAGCTGGTTCCTGAGATGGCATTTGGGAATAATGAGTAAAAATGTACTTGGGTCTTGGGGGCAGTCTGAGGACTGAGCAAAAGGGTACCTTTAGTGTGCAGACTTGGGTCTATGGAACAGGATATTTGGGTCCTGGAGGGAGATTTAGGCCTGGAAGACAGAATACCTAGGCCCTGGGGGTGGTGGGAGTGATGAGTGAGTTGAAGAATAAGATACCTGGGTCCTGAAAAGGAAAATGGGCTGGAATATAGATAGGATAGTTGGGTCCTGGAGCAAGGGATGAGCCTTAGGGAAACAGGCAGTGTAAACTGGGTGATAGGATACTTGTGGGATAGAGCACCTGAGTCCTGAAGGGAGATCTGATGCTGACCGGAATCTCAGGGGTGTAACCTGGGGCTTGGGGGTGAGCCATCCAGGCCTTGGGTTGAATGAATGGGTTGGGGAATGAGATGCCTGGGTCCTGAAGGGAAGAATGAACTGGGGAATAAGATAATTGGGTCCTGCATGAAGGAATGAGCCTGGGGAAGAGGATACTGTGGTGTGTGCCATGCTGGAATGTATTGGGGTAAGTTGGGTGGACAGAGCACTTGGGTCCCGATGGGAGATCTAGGCCTAAGCATACCATCTGGATCTCAGTGGGGGTGGGGGGCCCAGACAGCATCTAGAGCTGGACCCAGTACACCTGAGTTCTGGACGGAGGGACGAGGCAGGGGGAGAGAACACCTGAGCATGGGTGTTGGGGTTGGGAGGGGAAAGGAACGATACCAGTGTCCTGCAATATAAGCAGGGATTCAGGGAGGTGGTAGAGAAGATGGGTGAAACTAGTCCTGTCTAGGACTTGTTGTTACCTGCCCTTAGTAAAGAAGAGAAGGTAAAAAGAGAGACTGTCTAGTCCTAGCCCCTAAATCCCATAATGCTGAGTCCATTCTCTGGACAACCTGAGTCAAAAAGCCAGAGGGAGAAGGTTCAGCTGGGTTCTGTGGGAGCTGGGAAGGGCAGAATGAGTCTGGGGGAGGGTGACAGGAAGGGGGGCAGATTATGGAGGAGGGAAAGGACTGTAGGCCAAGACTCCTGGGTTCCTGAGGAGGGAAGGGCATGGGATCTCAAGACTGTAGTAATCACCGACTCAGAGCTGGAAAGGGCCCAGAGAGTTGATCGATGGGAGGTCAGATGCTCATGTTCCCATCTTTGGGACACTTTGATCTCCTCCACAAAGTCCCCTCTCATTGATCTAATGGGGGAGGGAAAAAGATCTATTTCCCCTCCCTGATAGGCGGGCTCCATTTCAAGGACAGGAGGACAGGACTGGGAAACTGGAGTCCTGGACAACTGCGTTCTGTCCTGCTTCAAGGAGAATGAAGGAGGTTTCAGGACAGAGACTTGGAATCTAGGCTCCCAGGTGTTGGAGGTTAGGGGCCAGAGGGACCTCGGAGAATCTGTTTCTTATCTGTAAGCCTGACAAGGTTATCTAGCCCCAGTCCTCACCTATTTCTGACTTCTCCTGCTCCTGCTCTTGCTGGCTGGCTGGCCTCCAGGAGAAAATACATTTTGGTTCCTTATCTTTCATAGGTTGAAGAAATGGGAACTGTCAGCCCAGACCTGCTCTTCCTTCCTCCTTCTACCTCACCCCTATCAGAGTGGCCTTAAAAAGGCAGGGTGATATAATGGAAAGAGCACTGGCCCCTGAATAAGAAGACCTCGCTAGCGTTTGAATCTTGGTTGAGTCACAATCACTGAGTCTCAGCTTCTTAATCTGTAAAATGGGAATATTACTATGGGTGCTGAGAGGGAGAACATTTTTTTAAACGTTAAAGTGCCATAGAAACATGAGCTATTGTTATTTTAGAAGGGAAATTGAGGCACAGGATGTCTTGGATGGTTTGTCATGGAGAGAGAGATGAATTCAGAGGGGAGAGAGAGACGGAGATCTTTGACCCTCATAACCCATGCTCACCCCATACCTCATTAGAGTCCCTAAGATAGGGGGACAATGGAGAAGGCTCTTGGAGTGGAAGGGCATCTGACTCTAGGGAGAAATGATTGTTAGGGGGAGGAAAGGGTGGAAGTGGGAGGGGGTGACCTTGGTGAGTGACTGGGGTTGGGGGGGGGAGTATGGGGGTGGATCTATTATTGATGAGTTCTGCGCCCCAGGCTGCTAATGAGCCTGGCTGGCTGCTCTAATTGATGTTGGGAAACCCGAGACCCCCAGATCAGCTTCCTGCTGTCCAGCTGGTGCTCCCTCTGCAGCACCCCCTAACATTCAACTACTCAGCTTTTTGGTCTCTGTTTTTCCCCTAGTCTCTGGCATAGAGAAGGTGGGGGCACAGGCATCCCAAACTCCAGCTCCTCCCCTGTCTTAGGCTCTCTTGGTTTACTCAGGCCTCTGGAAAAGAAGCCCCACTCATTCTCTAAGTGCTTAGAGATCTTAGGGAGGTAAGGTCGAAACCTAAGATTTAGGGATGGAGCAATTTGTACCTTGAACTGGGTTCAATTTTGGACTGTTTCTGATTACTTGATGTAGTGGAAAATTACATAGGAGCATAGGAACCAGAGGACCTGAATCTTGGTTTGAATCTTAGCTCTGCTGTTTACTACATGTGTGACCTTGGGCAAATCGTATCACTTCAATTTCCTTATCTGTAAAATGAGGAAGTTGGACTGGTGATCTCTAAGATTCCTTCTAGATCTGAACGCTAAGTCAGTTATGATGTACTGTGTGTCCTTGGGAAAGACCCAGATCTTCTCTGGGCTTCCTGGTACACATATCCCTTATAAATGTGTCATATTCGTCAACCCAGGTCACACATAGATGCACACAAACAGACATCCTCTAGCACTCTCATGTCTGCCTATCTCCAATCACTTACCCTCACACACAAGACAGCTTGGATCTGCCTTTAGGAGAGAGACTCCCCATTTACTGGACAAACACTCACAGGATCTGGGAGGTTGAGGGCAGGGGGTAAGGGTTTGGCTTACTTAAGAGCGCACACTTAGGGCTCCCTCACTCCTAGGGGAGGTTGGTCCCTTCTCTTCTCCTCCCCCTACACACTTTGGAAGATCCCCCAAGACAAGAGGGACTGGGACGGACTGAGTGGAAATAACCTGACTTTTCTTGTTCCGTTTCCTCCCTATATCCCCCAACTGGCAATTAATTCTTCTTCATCCCAGGGGCCCTGAGAAGGAACTTCTGAGTCTGGGAAGTGTTGGAAAGTATAGGAGAGGTGAAGGAAAGGAGAATCACTTCCTCAAAGGGACGTTTGGGAACATACAAATACTGCTGGGTTGGAGTGGAGAGACCACAGAGCAACTCGGTGGGTATGGCCCACATGGGTTTGTGACTAAGCTGCCCTCTTGTGGCTAGATCCTGCCATTGCAACCCGAGTCTAAGAAGGACATGTGTTTCCTAGTTCCTTCTACCTGCCTGAAAATCTCTGGGTAGTGGCCTTCAAATGCACACATCACAGAAAATCCTTCCTCAAATCTAATCTTAACTTCATCTTAGAGTCATTTCTCTTTTCCTGCTACAGACCCACAGGAGAGATAGAGAAAAGAGAAGAATCGCTCTCCCTTCAACAATCTGGTACTTTAGTAGGGATGTGAAAACTGTGGCCTGAAGGCTGCATGTGGCCTTCTAGGTCCTAGGATGTGGCTTGTTGACTGAGTCTAAGTTTTATAGAACAAATGCTTTTATTAAAGGGATTTGTTCTGTGAAGTTTGGATTCAATCAAAGGGCCGAACTTGAGGACCTAGAGGGCCACGTATGGCCTCAAGGCCACAGGTTCCCCACCCCTGCTTTAGAGGACTGAAAGGTCCAGTTACCCCCTCAGCCTTCTCTTCTCTGGCTTGACTTCTCCCAGTACTCCCCTGGACTTTTAGCATCTTATTACCACCAATAAATATCCTTCTGATGTTCAGCACCGGTCCCTCTCCCAACCTGGGTGCTTCTAGAACTGAAGCTTTCAGTCCAAGAGGAGTCCTTCCCTTTCTCCTCATGTCAGTTTCTCTCTCTCCAGGCACCTGGGCCCATAAGCTCTTGTACACTAAGCCCCATTCCCAGGGCCTTGACAAGAGGTCAAGGCTAGATAGTGAGACCAGGGCCCCTGATAGGACATGGAGGTTGGGGGTGGTGGGCAGAGTAGTGGAGGACAACAGAGTTGGGCCTGTGGTCAGTGGTGGCCCCTAGCCAAGTTTATTGCACTTGCAACAGAGTTTAAATAAGTCCCCGGATGTCCCCAGGGCCAGGAAGAGGGGCAGGGAAGGGGAGGAGGCAGCATCAATACAGCTGTAAGAACACTCTTGCTTGGAGAACTACCACCTGGCCCAGGGCAGGCAGGCAGGCAGGCAGGCCCTCTTGCTCCTAGGCCCTGGGATGAGGCCAAATTGAAGTTCCAGATTGGCAGCTGCCTCTATTGGAGTCCCCATTAGGGCCCTGGGCATCCTGGGATTCCAGCTTCTCCTGAGTCAGGTCCTGGACTTGCATCCAGGTGAGCTGCTACATCAGTCTAACCTGGAGTCCTAGCC